CACAACTCAAAAGCATCAACTCTTCTTCTGTCTTCCTTATTCATTGTCCAGCTCTCACATGCATATGAGGCAATTGAAAATACTATGGTTTGGGTTAGGTGCAACTTAGTCTTCAAGGAGATATCTTTGCTCTTCAGCACTTGAAAGAGGTCTTTTACAAGAGATTTGCCCAATGCCGTACACCTTTTGATGCTTCCATTGGTGTTGATTGTAGAACAAAGTAATAAAAAGTCTTTGACAAATTCAATCTTTTCTTCCTCTATTGTGATGCTGCTTATTGGTCCAGTTGTGAAGATTTTTGTTTTCTTTACATTGAGGTGTAATCCAAGATAAAAGATAAACATACAAAAATCAGTTGGATTCCTCTACAACAGCAAAGAGATTGCTGAAAAGGAAATAAATCAAAACCATTTATAATAGCTACCCAAAAAATGAAATACTTGGGACTAAATCTTATCAGGGCCACAAAAGACTTGTACAAAAAAAAATACAAAACATTATTTCAGGAAACCATAAGAGATCCATATAAATGGAAGGACATACCATGCTCATGCATGTGAAGATTGAACATTGTAAAAATGTCAATACTACCCAAAGCAATCTATAGATTTAATGCCATCCCAATCCAGATCCCATCAGCATTCTTTAAGGATGTGGGAAAACCAATCACTAATTTTATATGTAAAGAAAAGAGATCTCAAATAAGCAAAGGGCAATTGAAGAAGAACAAAGTAGGAAATCTCACATTTCTGGATCTCAAAACCTACTATGCCACCACAGGAATCAAAACAACCTGGTACTGGTACAAGGAAAGACACAAAGACAAGTAGATTCAAATTGAGAACCCAGAAATATATCCATTGACCTATGGTCACCTGATCTTTGAAAAAGGTCTGAAATTCATTAAATGGTGAAGATATAGCCCCTTTAACAAATGGTGCTGGTAAAACTGGTTATCCATTTGCAAAAAAATGAAACAAGATCCATACCTCATGCCATACACAAAAACTCACTCCAACTGCATCAAAGACTTAAATGTGAAACATAAAACTATAAAGTTCCTGAAGGAAGAACTAGGGGCAAATTTAAGGGCCCTAATTTATAGCATAAATGGACTTCAAGCATAACATGAAATGCACAGACAGAAGAAGATAAACTAGAGAATTGGGAGCTTCTAAAAATTTAATTTTTATGAGCTTTAAAAGCCTTCTCCAAAAGAGTGAAAAGAGAACCTACAGAATAGGAAAAAAATATTCAGCAATGAGATTCTTGACAAGGGACTTATCTCTAAAATTTATAGAAAAGTATAACACCTTGGCAACAAAAAGACAAACAATCCAATTTAAAAATGGGCAGAAGACATGAATAGACAATTCACCAAAGAAGAAATTCAAGCAGCCAACAAACACATGAAGAAATGTTCATGATCATTAGTCATTCAAAGCAAAACACATTGCTGTTGAGTGAGATCTCACTCATAGCGACCCCTCTTTGGGTTTCCAAGGCAGTATCACTGCAGAAGTAGGTTGCCAGACCTTCCTTCTGAGGAGTGGCTGGTGGGTTTGAATCTCCAGCCTTCTGCTTAGCAGTCAAATGCCTTAGGCACTATG